AAAAAAAAAAAAAAAAAAAGTGAAATGTATCGATTTGAATTGAAATGCAGTTTACCTTTCTGTGCTCCACTAATCATGGAAAAAACCAAATACTTCTAAAATTGAAACGGATACAAATAACTTCCTTGGTTATTTGGAAAGAGAAGTGGTTTTATTTATTTATTTTTTTCTTTCTTTTCTTTTTTTTTTTTTTTTTTTTTTTTTTTTTTTTTTTTTTTTTTTTTTTTTTTTTTTTTTTTTTTTTTTTTTTTTTTTTTAGGAGTATGATAGAACTGATGGTTTTTCACATGGTCCTTTTGGCTTGAAGCCTAGATCAGGTAAATATATATTCTGCAAATAAAATTTATTGGTTATGTATGAAACTAGAGCTTTCCTGCTTAAATGGGATTGATTCCGTAGTTTTAAGTACACATAGATTCTTTCCCCTCTCCTAAAAGTAATTTTCTCTTAACCTTATTTGTCTTTCCAATTCCCATCCCCCATTTCTTTCTTCCTCTTTACCTTCAAGCTCCTGAAACCTCAGCTTTTTGCCTTAGATATACTGCAGTCTTATTTCTACTCTACTGTGACTGCTCTTAGAATGACCACTCTGCCAGCAGACCAAACACTGTTTGAAATTCTAGCACTCCATTATATTGTGGTTTTAAAAAGGGATCTTTTCGCATTTGGCAAGCCCAAAAGAAAATGGATCCATGTTACTTGGCAAGGTATTGAATTATAGTTTTTATTCCTGAATAACTGTATTGACCTTCAAGAATAATTTCCTTTTTTTTTTAAAGATAATAACGGCTGATGTATGTTCAATAACAATTTTTAACCTGGATCATAAGTTTCTAATAACATGTGTTTAAATAAGAACATGTATGGGTGGTAGAAATTGTTACACTTGTCTTCCCTGTTGCTTTCAGTTATGCACATAAGTAGATTTCAATGATATTCTACAAAAAGTATTTAGAATGCATTGAGTGATGGTGTTTTTTTGTAGTTTTGTACTGATTCTTTTTCATCATGCCTCTTTCCCCACTGCTGGTTGCTTCTTCCTGTTAGCCTTGTGATAAGCTAGGAAATGTCTGTTTTTATAGCTTTTAGCCGCTCATCTCGTCAGGAATATGGGGCAGCAGATCCAGGATTTACAATGAGAAGAAAGATGGAACATCTCCGGGAAGAACGAGAGCAAATACGACAACTTCGCAACGTAAGCGAGATTGACCTTACAGATATGCTTTGCAGAAATGAGTTTAACTTGGAAAATTAGCAAGCTAGATGCATTTTATTTGCAAAGCTTTTTAAAATTTTGGATTATATAATGGTTACTGATACAAATATATAGCATTTATATTTAGATAGAATATCTGTGATTTATACCCATTTCTTTATAGAATCTCGAATCCAGGTTAAAAGTCATTTTGCCTGATGACATTGGAGCTGCACTGATGGATGGGGTTGTTCTTTGCCATTTAGCCAATCATATAAGGCCACGCTCTGTAGCTAGTATTCACGTGCCATCACCAGCAGTGGTAAGTTTCTTCAGTAATTCTCTAAAGGAAGATAGAGCTTCTCAAAACTGTCTTTCAATAATACACGTCAGTAAATGTAATTTTTAGTTTTGATTAATTTTTGTATAAATGTGCCTGAAAAATACCTTTTTCCCCTTACTTCACAGCCTAAACTGAGCATGGCAAAATGTCGAAGAAATGTAGAAAATTTTCTTGATGCATGTAAAAAGTTGGGTGTCTCACAGGTAACTGTTCTTTTTCTAACAAAATGATCATTTAAATATTAACTTATTATGTGCATACCAGGGTTCTTCTTCACGATAGGAACAAATGGACATGAAAATGAATATGTTCTCTTGGTACCTTTTACTGAGTTTCAGCTTTAACTGTAGCAGCTGTCTAATGAATGTTTTAAAGCTGCTTTTAAAGTCATTTATAAAATAGCTACATGTATGGAAAAATGCAGCAGTCATACATATCATTGAGAAAACATAACTTAGTGGCTATATTAAAAGTTGATTGTGATGCAGTTGCTGGTTTCATTTCTCCTGCTGAAACACATTTGGACTGCTTTGTAAATCCATGGGTAGACTCTCATCAGAAGATTCGCATTCAGGGTGAACAGCGTTTTAAACTTTAGAATGTCGAATTCTACATATTAGTAACATATTATGACAATTTCTCATGGGACAAACTTTGTCTGAAATTTGTAGAATTTGGCTTATGTTTCAGGTGATAATTGCAGTACTATAAAATTAGCAGTTAAAGTAGTATTGTAAATGTATAATGAAAACAAACAATTAAAATACTACTTTTTTTTTTTTTCAACGTTTATTTATTTTTGGGACAGAGAGAGACAGACAGAGCATGAATGGGGGAGGGGCAGAGAGAGAGGGAGACACAGAATCGGAAACAGGCTCCAGGCTCTGAGCCATCAGCCCAGAGCCCGACGCGGGGCTCGAACTCACGGACCGCGAGATCGTGACCTGGCTGAAGTCGGACGCTTAACCGACTGCGCCACCCAGGCGCCCCTAAAATACTACTTTTTTAGAAAACATCATAGGCCCAACATCAAGATGATCAGGTGTTGAAAGGACATGGTGTTGTTAGCAGATCACAATATAGTTGTGATACTTTTCCCTTTTATTTTCTTTATTTAGTTTTTTAAATATAATTTGTTGTCACATTTGCTGACATCCTTTTATTTTTAAAAATTCATTTTTATTGAGATGTAATTGATCCATAACATTAAGTTTGGTGTGCAGTGTGTTGATTTGATACATTTATATATTGAGTTGTGCTCGTTTAGCTCTTTTTACCAGTGTCCTAATAATCTGGTCGACAGATTCCACTTTAATCTCTTTCCTCAAGTGAATAAATATAATTTATATAGAGAGAATCAGTTGAATTACCCCGTAATTTCGAAACTACATGCTGCTGTTCTCTAATTACATCTTTATGCTTGACATGATGTTTTAAAATTTTAATTCTTAAACATTTTTATGTTAGTTCTTCTTTGTTAGACTCTTAATCTCTTATTGAGAAAACAGAAAAATTAGGAAGTTTTGTTTTCTAGTTAGGATTACATTATATATATTTTTTTCTGTTTTATCATTTTTAAGAGTTTTTTGGGGGGGCATTCTCGATAAACATTTATCGAATGAATGCACATTTTATAGATGAGTAAACTGAGGCACAGGGAGGTTAGAGAACTTGTCCAAGGTCTCATCTTGAGTGCACAGTGGGGCCAAGCTATGAACCCAGGTGATCTAACTTTAGAACATATCCTCAGGCTTGGATACTCTCTATTTGTGTTCTTTTATATGAAAGAAAAGACATTGCAACCTATTCCAGATACCTTCTTGGTACAGTAGGCAAGAAGCATCAATTAGGAAGGTCTTAACGGAAACTATTCTACTTAGCATAGTCTAATACTCTCTTTCTAGCTTGTTTTAGGAAAGGGTTAGTAACCCACCCATGCTACCACAAGAGGGACTATGGAAGGACCAGTTTTCAACTCCCATTTTCAAAACTTCCCAGCTACTGGTATTGGGGAAAGAGTTTTATCGTTAGCTTCTTGTTTTTCCTTGACTTAGAAATTGTAATAAAGAGTCCGTTTCTTCATTTAGTGTTTTTTATTTCATTTTAATGTACTTTTGTATTTTTGTATTTTTTTTAGAGAGAGGGTGCAAGTGAGCTAGGGGCAGAGAGAGGGAGAGAGAATCCCATGAGGGGCAGAGAGAGAGAGGGAGAGAGAGAGAAGTGAGGCTCACCCAAAGTTGGGCTCAAGCTCATCCGATGTGAGACTCTAATTCACGAACCATGAGATCATGACCTGAGCCAAAGTCAGATGCCTAACTGACTAAGCCACCCAGGAGCCCCAAGAGATTTTTGTGTTTTAATAGCTTTTTTGGGGTATAATCGACATACAGTAAAGTGCATATAGATAAGCTATACAATTAAGTAAGTTTTGACATGCATACACCATGAAATCATCACCATAGTCAAGATAATGAGCATGTTCATGACCCCTAAAACTTTCCGTGTGTCCCTTGGCAATCCTTTTTTCCGTGGGTAACCACTAATCTGCTATCTGTTGTTATAGTTTAGTTTGCATTTTCTGGGGCGCCTGGGTGGCTCAGTCGGTTGCGTGTCCGACTTCAGCTCAGG